GCCGTCCAGTTTGTGAATCTGCTGCCCTCAGCGAAGTTAGCACCAGTTTTTCAGTACATAGAAAGGAGTGACTAGCCAAATCGTTAGAATGCTGCGCTGTCAAGCAGGTGACCCTCGCTAGCAGAGGACTGCAACTGTCTAGAGAGCAAACTCGATAAAAGCTGTTCCCAGGAACGAAATATGTCAACCATTTTGTGTGTGTGTGTGAGAAGGAATCGACACATACAGTTAACCCATTGCCCATGGCCAAGCAGAAGACCCGGGATGGAACCCTTGGTGAGTTTAGGGATGATTTTTTTCTGTTCTGTGAGGGGTAATAATGAAATCCTAACCTGCACAGGGGGCATATATCCTAAGACTCAAAGACCCCCTTCCATCACTTTAAATACAGGAAGTAATGGCCATGTGTTTTTTTAGCATTTGGAAGGCTCAACTATGGGCCTAATAAATATCCAAGACCTAAATCAGGTGGCAATGAATCACGAGACATGGAGAGCTATGACCTCTGCCCTATGCGCCGACTTAAGCTAAAAAGGAAAGACTAAGTTGCAAGTACACATGTTTACAGGCAGTTTCCTCAAGCATCTTCTTATGCCGTGTAGATTTAAAACAAATGTATGTGTCTGAACGTCTATCTTTATCCAGCCCTGTGTGCTTTCAGGACCAATGCATCTTCAATGTCCTGTTTCCACTCTCACGGAGGTCGACCTCTACCTTGTTTTCTAGAGACTCTATCACATCTCCCTCCATCTTTATTCTCTCCTGATCCACCATGACGCCACAAATACCTCAGGTTTCGGGAGAAGATGCTGTTTATGAGCCAGTTCTCCTTGATGTTCAGATTATTTAGGATGCCGACGTTTTTTTCTTCTTTCTGTTTGGTCCATGGTATTGTAAGAATTTGTCTATAGCATTTCAACAGCTCTGATTTTCTTCAGAGACTGAATGAGAGTCCATGACTCAAATATCTCATGTACTTTCCATTTGTTCTGACACAGATGCGGGCCTGTTGGGGGGAGGGGGGAGAATAGACCCCAACCCCCCTATCAAGCATGTCATTAAAAGTGACTAATTAGAGGTTTGCTGAAATTAGACGTGTTTGGGTCAAAGGTTGTAGCTGTCAGTAAACTGCAACACATTAAAAACCCTACCTAAAAAATGCTGAATGTTGAATTAAGAATCGACATTACAGCACTAAGGACAACCCCATAAGCGCTCCATCCCCATCTTTAGCAGCAAGCGAAGAGTTAAAATTCTGATGACACCAGTAACTGTATGATTGTATATCCGTCTCGCCTTTCCCCTGAGTGTCGAGCGTCTGCCACATCCCCTGATAACTCATCGCAGTGTCATTCTCCTCAGACCGTAATGATCAGTCTGTGCCTCCGCACTATTCACTCGCTCCCAAATGGCCCTCACAATATTTTAACTTGTCACATATCAATTTACCACCATGTCGTGCAGAAACAGCCAGTCTATCTGTCTGCTCATTTTTCAACGCACTGGCATAACCTGGAAAAAATATCAAAAGGATGCCAACTACCCGGAACCTTTGGAGTGATGCTTGCTTGCACCATACTGAAAAAAAAAAAAAAACTACCCTATGGTCCTGATCATTATAACCAACTTCTTTTGGACACAGTTTGTACACGTACCTTATAGTGGGTGCTGCATCAGTGGACCGAGGATGCATGGAAATGCCCACTGAGCAGTGATGTCGATTGTGATAACATAACTCCAGGGAGCTATATGAAGGTTTGACACCCTGCGATTATAAATTAAATTGCAGAGCAACTCATAACCCCATTCACTCTCCTTACTTACTTACTAAGTCGCTCCTCTTCTACCTTGGGGTGTAGAGGTTTGCTAGAGAGATCGCCAGACGTCTCTATCAGCAGTTTTCTTTCTGGCTTTGTTCCATTCCAGTCCTCTGTCAGTCAGGGACTGTCGGATGTTGTCTTCCCAGCGCACCCTGGGTCGTCCCGGAGGTCTGGTTCCCTGGTTCTTAGCCTCCCATGCTTGCCATGGTGGCCGATTTTCCCCCATTCTGCACACATGTCCAAACCATCGTAACTGTGACTGATCCACTCGGGTTAGTAAGGGCTGGGTATCAAGATCTTGACGTATTGTCTGATTGCGGACTTTGTCCCTTCTTGTCACTTGGACCACCTTTCTCAGGTATCTCATTTCCGAGGCCTGCAGCTGGCTTCTGTGAGCTGTTGTCATTGCCCATGACTCACACCCATAGGTCAGGACTGGTACATAGGTAGAGCGGTAAACAGCCATTTTCGTCCTCTTGCCAATTTCTCTTTTGCCATTCACTCTCCAAAGAAGTTATAATCAGGTCTAGGGGTATGGTGTCCGCCTCGAGTGCTAGAGGTTCCGGGTTCAATCCCCGGTAAGGGCTGGGACTTGTTCACGTGGACTTGGACTTCTAGTATTTCCTCCTGGTCTCTGGGTAGCGAGATCGGACGCCCGTGTGCATCGTTGCGCGCGTAAAAAAATCCCTTGGCAGTGTTGGAAATCGAAAAGAACGAAGCACTTATGGGTTACTAACCGTGTGCCATGATTCTGATCCGGTGTTCAAACCTCAAGAAGTTAAAATCAGGGCACAGGTAACGACTACAGCAGCCTAGTATAATATGCAGCCCTGTGCTGGCAAGGACGAATAATATACAGACCATCAAATTAGGCTGAGGTTTTAGCGTTAACTACACCACCACTACCACCCCCCCCCCCCCCCCTTTCCCAACATACCACATTTCTAGGCCCTAAATACCAAAGCTCAACTCTACCCTGTCCTAAAAAAGTGATAAAACACAGGCAGTATAAGCTGTTTTAAAATGACGGCAGCCAAATATGTTTGGAAACCAAGATCTCATGAACAAAGAGAAATATGATCTGGTCCAGTGTTCTTCAATCGGTGATCCGCCGAAGTGTCCTGATCTTCATCATGTATCAGGTCCATTGCAGAATGTCACTCTCGTCATGGTGTCCTCCTCCCCCCATCCCCAAATACTTGGCTTCTCGCTAGCTCTCCCACTTCGCGCACTTTCCTACCCAAGGTGTCACTTATATCCTGTGCTCACTCGCATGCCGGTCAGCCCCTACCCCTCTTTCCTAGTACCTTGCCTTCTGCTTGTATTTTTTCCAATCCGCCGCGGTGCTTAATATTGCCAACAGATTTCAGTTTCCGAGACACGATGCTGTTTGCCAATGTTTTTGAGATCGGCCCTTTCGTTTCCCCTTTTGTATGCACAGCCGTTTAACAAGTATGGCTTACTTGTATGCAGACTGTTGATTCCTCGTTTATTTAAATTCTGTGGGATGGCATACTAGAAATAATGAATACAACAATGTCCTTTAATCACAAGATGTGAACATCCTTGTCACGAGTCTTCTTGAATCTAGTTTCGTCGCCCAGGTATGAGTTGAGTGCATGGCGCGACACTGTGAGCTGCGGATAAGGGACAGTGACGGACATTTTGTGTGGTTTTCTTTGGTGCATCTATAGGGTGATCTGTTTGCTATGAACTTGAAATTGCGTTTACCTGATTCTTTAGTCTTTGAAAACCTATATCCAGGAAAGTAGAGACCAACTTTGTGAATATAATTCAAAAACCAGGCGTATGTGTCCAGCTGTAGATTACAGTGATGGAATAAAATGGGAACGAAGTCTGCGTCTAAGTTGATATGATGGAATTATAGAGCTGCCAGAAGAGGTACTTCTCAGTAAAACCAAAAAAGTTCAAGGTGAAAACGACGTCCCTACTCTAGGCACTAATCTTTGAACTGACAATTCGTGTGGAGGCTTATATATATATATATATATATATATATATATATATATATATATATATATATATATATATATATATATATATATACACACATATATATATACATACACACACACATATATAACATACACACACACACACACACACACATATATATATATATATATATATATATATATATATATATATATATATTGAAGTCGGCTCTAGGGCTAAGTCGATGCGGACGCTTCGCTTCGTAATGCCGGGATGCCAAGTTCGATCCCAGCTGCGGGCAATGCGCCTTGCGCTGGTTTCGACAGTGATATCAAGAAAGCCGATCGTCCAGTAAGCAATGGCAAACTACTGGATGTAAATTGCCTAGAGAAACCACACAACAGCCAGGGGCTGTTAGGGTTGGCTCTGCAACGTCCTGTAAAGGATACGCAACTAACTTATATATATTGAAAAGCCATTGCTTCTGATGAACTAAAGAAAAAGTGTGAACATTTAGATATGAACATCATACTATGTTAATGACACAATGTTAGTGGGATTGTCTAAGTATTCATAGTATGTGTATATGTAAGTTGTATCCTACAGGACATCACACAAGCTATAAATACCCTGTGACACAAAGTGCCACCATGCGGATGAGGATCACCCGTGGAGAGGTCATGGAAACCCTGTTCAGACGTTAGGCCATATTTCAGGCCTGGCTATATTTAGGGCCCCCGGCAAAAGCTTGGGTGGGGCTTCAAAATAACTAAAAATTGCATCCCACAAGGGAATGACGAGAGTAACACTTAAGTATTCACAGTACAATTTTTATCACAATCAAAATATATATAATTACATGATATATAAATTTAAAATAACAAATAAATTTTTTGACAACTCAAGTAACAATATATATCCCAATTTTAACCCTAAGGGTTAAACAGAATACACGGAAAAATGTCGCATGTTTTGTGGGCTGTGGGAGTTAAAAAGGCTGAAGAACACTGTCTATACACAATAAACAACGCTACCACCTGCTTCCCCCTCCTCGCTGAACTCCTTTCTGCGCATCGTTTGCTGGCCATTGTGTCGGAGTACAGTCCCCTGCTGGAGGAAACAAAACCCCAAGCTAGCAGAACACGTAGACTACTCGTCGACAATTTGGTGATTGTTTTTCTTCGCGATTGATTCATAAATTCTCAACTTCAACAAATATTAAATATGGCAGAACAAAGGAATGTTATTGTTGCTATGGATGGCAGCGACCATTCAAACTATGCTCTGGATTGTGAGTATTTTTGAAGCAAAACAATATGCACGTAAACATGTTTTCATCATCGCTAGAACGACATAAGTAGTTTAGTTAGTAGGGAAGGGAAAGGTGCTTATCCTGGGCAACAGACGAATCACTGAAGAGGTCAGACGTGTCGGCTGAAAGGTGGAACTATCGTACTTTTGTTGTAGTCTAGCATATCTATCGTAGCTTTGTGAACTGAAATGAACTGAACAGTTTCACACAGTGCTGTTACTTATTAATTATAGCTGGTCTTACCTACACTATTAATACTATTATATATATGTTCAGCAAAGTTTAATACTTACAGCGTTATGGCTACCACGACATCAGGATAGCAGCCGTGATGTAGCAGCTATACACGCCTGCGGATCGGAAAGTCATGGGTTCGAGTCTTGACGGAGCTGGACTTTAAAAAAACTGACCTTGGCTGCCAGGTCGACCCAGCTTTGAGTAGGTACCCGGTAAAGTCCTGGGAAGTAAAGGTGGTCGGCTGATGTTGACCCATCACACACTAAATATATATAGGTCTAGCCCTGTATGTCCGTTACGCCCAGAGGAGTGGAAAACAATTCTTAATAAATAATAGTATAGCAGTAGTACAACTAATACTTAGATAACCACTGCATCACAACTTCACACCAGAAGGTTAGGTTTAAACAGCTTCTCCCTCATTGCATATATTGTGTGGGACAAGTATAAACCTTGTTATATCCATGAATTTATTCCAGTTTTATTGATTGTACTACTGGGTCATTATATGTCAGTTAGGCTTGAAGTCTTCTTGGGGGGGGGGGGGGGTATTTTGTCTTGAGACATTAAAAATGCAAACAGGGAAGACTAGAGAGTGAGAGGCAATAATGAAATTTGTATTCCACAAATTACTGACAGTACAAGGACTAACAGACTGCACTTGATGGGGCAACTAGAGATAATGACAGATAACAGAGAGAAAATAAAACTGCTTGCACAAAAGAGTTGAATGGAAGCAGACCATGAGGCAGACCAAAAAGATTGCAGAGAGATAATATACAGCTAGATGGACCAGGCACATGGAACCACCAATAGAATGAATGGAGGTAGGTAGTATCTGCAGAAATGACCCTCAAGAGCTTGGGATGCTGAAGAAATTTTTTTAGATTTTCACTGTCTGCTGAGGAACCAGTTAAATAAATATTTTAGTCGACAATCATTTATTAAAATCTTTTGGCAGTTAACCCCTTTCACCCTGCTCTCGGGAGCGAGTAAACAGTACCGAGGAACAGATAGATCATTAGGATCTGAGGAGAACGGCACTGCGAGGAGTTACAAGGGGTCTGGCCCACGTTCAACACTCAGGGGAAAGGCGAGAGGGATATACAATCAGACAGTTACTGGTACCATCAAAATTTTAACTCTTCACTTGCTGCTGAAGATGGGGATGGAGCGTTTATGGGGGGGTGTCCACAGAGTGCTGTGATGTTGATTCCTAATTTAACATTCAACCCCGTTGAAACTAAAAGAAGAGTAGAAGCAACAGAAGGCATTTAAAGTCTTGGTAATTTTCTATAAATATTCTGGGGTTGAACCCCTAGACCACCAAGAAGACGGGCAGTCCCCCGTGTGGGAAAACAAGAATAGACCCACTGCCTCCCCAAAAGCATGTCGTAAGAGTCGACTAAAGTCTTTAAAGCCGTCACTGAGAAAAAAAATGTGAATATCTGTAAAAAACTTTTTTTCCAGCTGCTGGACAAACAACCAAATAGTGTACAGCTATGAACGCAAAGAAGAAGAAGAAGAATGAAGTCACGTCACTAAAAAAAAATGTTATTTTTTTTGTACGAAGGGAAAAATTTTTGTATGTAATCACTGAATAAAACTGGAGCAACCTCCCTTTGACCATTTTAAAGGTGATTTTGGTCACTTTGCCACGGTCAGTAATGTGACCTAATAATCAAATTTATGACATCATGATGAATCCATAGTATGCAGAAAGCTATTATTTTCACCATAAAAATACCTACATTTGTGTGTGTGTGTGTGTGTAATCAATCATACCCGCAATGTCTACACACTATGCAGTTGCAGCTAGTACCAGAGCTGTCATACAGGTGTACTGGGCACTGTCCAGAACCAGTTAAAGTCAGTAGCCTTTCTTGGCAGTGGGGAAATGACGCAAGCTAGCTAGGGCATGTGAGGAGATATGATTCGATTGAAAAGATTGTACTTCAAGAAACATTGGGGGTTAGTCGAAGAAGAGAAGGGCAAAGAAGAACATGGAATGACAACATCAAGAAGTGGACAAGACTAAGTTATCATACACTTATTCATCAAATGGAAGACAGAGAAAGATGGCGAGTTCTAAGTGTTAGTGCTTCCATCAATGCACCTCCACAACCCTAATGGGTCAAGTGTTATCTTATGTTAAACTTAGAAAGGTGTCTGATTATTTTTGTATCATTATTCTTTACAGGGTACTGTAACAATGTGCACAGAGAAGGAGACCATGTGGTTCTTGTGTATGTGCCAGAACTCAATGATTTGCTGCACTCCTCTCAAATGGAACAACTGTAAGTAACAGTTAACTCATTTGGGACCAGTAAACTCACTATGCATTTGTTAACTTTTTCGTTCCCTAGCAGATATAACTTATGTTTTTTCTTGGTTTTCCTCTGTCTCTTGGTGTTACTTCTTTTATTTTGTACGCTTTAGTTTCTGGCATCATTGGATTCATTCTCATTAAATGGCCAGACTATTTCAATACATGTTAATTTTGCTTTTTTTATTATAAGAAGTGGCTACCTTCCATAGAAGAAAGTTCCTAAAATTATTTAGCTGTTTTGTTGTTAATTTTTGCCAGTGTACACACACAAAAAGGGATGGGGGGAAGAAAAAAAGAGCATTTTATAGATGACTAGCTGTACCCGGCCACGCGTTGCTGTGGCGTAATTTGAGATAGTCTTTGATCCCCCCCCCACAACTAAATCCACCTAGTACCCTCTCCCTCATCAAAGGTTTTAAGAAAAGAAAGACAATGGAAATCGCACCTGTCTAATGAAGTTAATGACACAGTCAATGTCTGCGCCGACGTCGAGATAGTCCTTGATTCCCCCCCCCCCCCCCCATCGAAGGTTGTTTGAAAAAAAAAACAGAAAATAGAAATCGTGTTTAATATGGTTATTGTGGCAAATATAGAGATAGTCTTGTTTGCTGTACCACGACCTACTCTATGTATTAGTATTAGAGAAGGCGTTGGCTGCACGTAACTCGCCGGCGAATGGTAAATACGGCGCATGCGCAATTACTAACGTGGCTATAATTAGAAATCACTAAAGTTATAAATATTAGTTGCGTATATTTTGGCATTAATTGTGGTCACCTATCTCTAACAGTGACAGGTTGAATTTCAAACCACGACGGTTCAAAATCCGGTATCACAACAAACATATCCTGAAAATTTCAGCTAAATCGGTTCAGTAGTTTCCGAGTCTATAGAGACCAAACAAACACACAAACATTGATTTTTATATATATAGATTGGCGTATTGAAGATATGTGCTAAACTAAATCGTTGTAAGAGTAGACTAATTAAGGGTTTCCTTCGAAGTCAGAGGTGCATCTGCCTGAGAGCTGAGGAACCAACAGTCTGCATACAAAAAAAGGCAGATCTGTAAAAACGGATGTGCTTGCAAAATGCAAATTCTGGAACAAGACAAAATTCCAGAAGTGGACAAAACAACCAGACATTTCCACCATTGTTTACAGCCAGTTAACACAAAATAGTAGAAACCCATAATTTTGTATAGACCACTAGGCACTTGATTTGTGTTGTGGTCAATATCACACTGTCTGCCTTTACTTTGGTACCCATTTTATGCTGGGTTGACCTGAGCACCTTAGTCATTATACAAATCTCCCGGTGCGGGTTCCGGGGCCTTATTATAGGCAAAACAAGAATAGACCCACTGCCTATCCAAAAGCATGTCATAAGAGTAGACTAATTGGGGGCTTCCTTCAAAGTCAGAGTGTAACTACCTGAGAGGCAAGGAACCAGCAGTTTCCATACAAATGAGTCAGATCTGTAAAATGGATGCACATGCAACATTCAGGTTCTGGAACAGGATTGCAGTCCAGAAGTGGATGAACAACCAGAACTTTCCGCCAGAGTTTACATTTGGTGAACGCGAAGAAGAAAAAGAAGAAGAAGAAGATTATACAAATCTAACTTTATGTGGATTTAAAACCAGGACCTTAAGACAAGCACAGCTTTCTGAAATTTGAGTTTGCCAGTCTGTCTGCTATAAACCTTACTTAATTTGGTCACCAAAATAACTGCATGAACAACTCTGTCATCGCAGCTGTCTATGTGTTTGACCGTGATGTTTTGGAGTCCATGCTGAGAGAGGAGCAGGAGCGGATCAAGCAGGACCTGGAGGCATTTGCAGAAATACTGAGACACCATGGGGTGAGTACTTATTATTTTATCTACTACTGCAAGAGAATTTGGCCAGACCAGATGTTTAGGCAAATGATTCCTCCTCTTTCTTCTTGTCATTAGGACACCTGTTTTTTGTTTAAATCTTTCTTCCCATAATGCCTCTAGCCTGGCATCACCATTATTACACATCACTGTAACTACCATTTAACTGGCACTGCTACAGTCACTTCCCCTCAAGAACCATAATTAATGACATTGGTTCTGATTGCAGCTGCACAGAGTTGACAAGGCCCTGGTTGTGATTATATTTACTAAAATTAGCAATGGGGTAGGGGAAAAAAAAAAGGGGGGGGGGGGGGGGGTGTTGTTATGAGGTGTTTTAAAAAAAAAGACTTTCAGAAATGTCAATATGTTGTCATAATTTACCATTACTTAGTAGTTGTATCACAACAAGGTCACAGGGTCAGGTATGAGTCCCCCTGTAAATGTTTTTTAAGCTCCAAGGGAATGAAATCTACTTAATTTTTCACACCATTTGTATTTATTGATTGCTCCTCTTCATTTATTTTAAAAAAAATTATAAAAGATTTGAAAATGTATATCTCTAAATAAACAAAAATAAAAATATTTACTATTGATCTCTTTGAAATGGTTGTTTTATGAAGGATTTTTGTTCTAAAGGTTGCAAGTGTGACAGGGTTACCGTATATTTCCATTGTGCCTGCTTGTGATATTTTTACATTTTGGTTGACATTTCATAACTCTTTGGCATTTGTTGAATGAGTTAACCTTCACTAGGGCAGATTATCTAACCACTTGTACACGAGCTGCTGGGAGACTTGGTAGCCTGGTGGCTAGACACTCATCTGCTAGCCCAAAGGTCTAGGGTTCAGATCTGCATTGAGGTAGATTAAAAAAAAAAATCAACCTTGGCTTCCAGGTTGACCTGGCCTAGGTCATATATTTAGGAAGCAGTGTAGCCAGCATGATGTTGATTACTTTACCCATCAAGAGCCAATTGGTCTGTAAATGTGTAGGTTTAGCACTGCATTCTGGATGCACCAAAGAGGTACTTAATTTATAACTTACCCCTGACGTCACGACTACGTCACGGGAGACATTCCCAATAAATTCTAGGGTTTTCAGGTTGTAGTTTCTCGCGATATCTACAGCCAAGTTTAGGGTTAGGGTTAGGGTTAGAATACACTAGATGAACACTCAAAAACAGCACCACACAACAGCACACTTGCACCCCTGGAAATAATGGACTGTCAGGTCAGCTGTGGATTTCCCACAGGAATTTCGTGTTTGGGGGGTACGTTATAAATTAAGAACCACCAAAGATGTTAAAAGAGTCTCTTTTAAGTTTTTCTTTCTTTTTACATGAATGGCCCAAGTGTTACCTGAACCATAATGCAAACAAAGAACAGTAATCCACTGTGCATGTCTTAATCATTTTTGCCCCGCGGGTGGTACAAAAATGGCACCCTGAACCCACTGGTTTCCTGGGAAAAAAATCCTGTAAACAAAATCCTGTTTAAAAAGAAAGAAACCCTATTACACAGGTAACTAATAATAAAATTTAAAAAATGTAACAACAATTATTTATCTACATTTAACATCCCCCCCTCCCCCTAGCTATATATAAAGATATATAAAAGGGTAGTCAATACATATTTGCAGAGTTAAGCATTAAATGAAATACCTTCCTGGAGGCCTAAAAATAATATGTGTAAGGTGACTCATGCCGCAACCCCGTGACCTTGCATTGAGGCTTAGGGGAAAATTTGACATCAGTTTTGCTTTCAAAAAAGCCGTTGGGATCATAAGGAAACCCCTAAATGCCGTTTTGAGTTTATTAATAATTTGGCCTATTAACTCTTTGAGTCCCAAGGGGTTAAGCATCACAGGCCCAGGGGGGTGTAAATAGTCATAAAATCAGCGCATCATGCGTTTATTGGGCTTTTAGGTAGGAAGCCAGGAACGTATGATGCGTTCCTTGGGACTCAATGAGTTAAACACTGGACAGACACACATAGGACCAGTTGAAGTCAGGTCATTGCATAAATGGCCATATATCAGCATTTACAGGACTGTGTCACAGCCCAAAGTGAGTGGATTTAGTCTTCTTTAGACAACAGGGTTAACGGTTACATAGACAGGTTTCTACAGATATCGACAAATCTTCAAAGAGTTTGGGATGAGTTGGTTGAGGAGTTTACGCTCGATTGGGAGATGAAAGATAAAAGAAGAAGAAGCAAATGCATATCTAGCCAGTTAATCAAATTCAGTCATTCATTCAGTTCCACGTGTTGGTTTCGAGTAGGTGTGTGTCTGCCTGAGAGGCAAGGAACCAACAGTCTGCATACAGTAAAGTCAGATCTATTACACGGATGTGCACCTGCCTGAGAGGCAATGAACCAATATTCTGCATACAGTTAAACTAGATCTGTTAAACGGATGTGCACTCAGATTCTGGAGTAAGACTAAAGTCCAGAGGTGGACAAACAACCATAACTTTCCATCATAGTTTTCAGCCAATTAATGTGAAGAAGAAGAAGATTGAGTCAGTTATTCCTTCATTCATTCATGTGATCAGTTGTTTCGTCACTCAGCCAGCCAGTCAATCAATCAGTTATTCTTAATTCAATCATTCATTCATGTAATCGATCAGTCAGCCGACCCATCAGTCAGTTAATCAAAGTCACTCAGTCAGTTGCTTAATCATTCATTCAGTAAATCAGTCAGTCAGCCAGTTGATCAGTCTATCAAGTAGTCAGTCAGCTAATCAAAGCCAGTCAGTAATCATTGAGTAAATTAATCATCATTTCAGTCATTCATGTATTCAGTCAACAAGTTATTTAGTCATTTACTTATTCAGTTTGTCAGTGGTCAGTCAATCCTTTTTCTCCTTTCTACCACTAGCTCGGAGGCAAAGTGAAGAGCATCATGGCGTCCAAGCCGGGAGAAGGAATCCTCAAGGCAGCTGAAGACGAGCATGGCTGCATGATTTTCGTTGGCAACCGTGGGAAAGGCTTACTGCGCAGAACCTTCATGGGATCGGTCAGTGACTACGTCGTCCACCATTCCCACATCCCAGTGTTTGTCTGCAAACACCCCAACAAGCACATCCCCCATCATGACTAGACCTGATTGGAGCAGTTCTGGTTTGTATGTGCATTCTCAAGTTCCATGCACAGCTCTGTTGGTCTTAATGATGTGGCCAGTTGATGAACTTTTGAAATGTCTGTTGTAATCGTTGGTTAGTTCAGTTTAGAGTGAGAAAGAAGCAAGTAACAGATTGCACAATTTATTGCCAGGCATAGTTGACTGTAAAACAGTTAAGGGACAGAGACTTTCTGTTGTGTATGTGTCTTCTCTAGTTGCATACACTGCTTGATTAGTTTAAATGATTTGGCCGGTTGATGAACTCTTGAGGCATCCGTGCTAATTGTTGGATAATTTAGTTTGGAGTAAAGAAGACAAATATAACAGATTTCACAATTTATTGCCAGGCATAGTTGACTGTGAAACGATTGAGGGACAAGGAATATTGTATGTGTGCATTATCTGTTTGCATTTTTTGGGGTCATATTAAGAGAATGTCATTTTTTTTGTCATATTAAGAGAAGAATAAAACTGGAACCTGTTGTGAGCACTGGAAAGATCTCTGGAAAAAGAGACAGAGGAAAACAGTGCGGAAAGATTCATGACAGCCTTTTGTCATGCTATGGAGGGGTGTCAGCACATAGACTGTTACATGCAGTTGAAGATCACAGATTGTAGAGAGGCATTATCACCCACATCAGTTGGCAAGACATTTAATGATGATGCATACTTTGGTATGTATTGTTGATTTGACCAGTTAATGAACTCTTGATACATCTATACTAATTGTTGTTTAGTTTAGTTTAAAGTTTAAAAAAAAAAAAACAGATTGCGCCAAAACCATCTTTAGAGCATTGTGGGTCCCTAAGCAAACCAGTCAGTTGGGACCCTTATGACAGCTGCCTCAGAAGTGACATTTATATTTATGGTGAGTCACTTGATATAAACAGATTAGCATGGGGCCCTTATGTGTGTAGGCCCCTTGGGCAAGTGTCTAGCGGACCCATGCATAAAACAGCACTGTATTGCACAAATGATTTTTGGAAGAAGAAAGGTTGATGATATTAAAGACATTGTACATTCGCAACGAATAATAATCCCATCGAGCACTGAACCTTCAGCTGTTTCTACCAGCAATGCTTGATGGCAGTAGTGGAAGATGATGGTGATATGTGGTCATCATCATCGTCATCATCATAAGCCACTTCTGCCATTAGGTATGGCAGGGAGGAATAATTTGTGATCCAGTGCACACTGGCTGCCACTGGCTATTGTCATGTCATGAAGGCGTAGAATGTCTTCAGTGTTGTTGATCCATGTTTTTCGTGGTTGTCCTCTTGTTCTTGTAGCTGATCTTCTGAGATGTAGTGCCTGTGATGGTGTTTGATGCTGCTGCATTCTAACAAGATGACCAAACCACCATGTTTGGTGTTTCTTGATGAATCTAGTACAAGATGTTGTTCCAGCAATCTTTCTGATAGTATCATTATTCACTCAGATGGTTAATTTGGTGGCTTTTCTCAGGCATCTCATCTCAAGTGGTGATTTTTGCAGATATGGGCTTTAGATACTGTCCCTTTCTGGTATAGGGATATGTAGCCGGAATTTAACGAAATATAACTAAATATGCCAGGTTATGAATTGTGCAGTTTAGTATTTATGTCTTATGTCAGTGATTCCCAAACTGTGCGCCGTGGCGCCCCGGGGAAGCTGTGACCTATTCACAGGGGCGCTGCGAAATATTGTAAAAGCTTCATAATTAATTTAACCAAGACACGAATAGTCATACTTTTACTTAGGTTAGGGCGCCGTGGAAACATTTTCATTGAAAAAGGGAGCCGCGACCAAGACAAGTTTGGGAAACACTGTCTTATGTGTTAAAATCTAAAAGAGAAATAAATGCTTTGGTTTGGTAACCTTGGCAGCTGCAAGTCTGTTTACCTTTCATATATTTTGTATGTGCATACGTATTTATGTCAAAGTAAGCTTCGCTTTTGTGTTTTTCCTTTGCTAGAGATTACGATGATCATCATAATCGTAAATGACATTCAGTTGACTCGTTATGTTTTTTGTTTTTATTGTGGGGGAATTTTTCCTAAACCATGTAGATTGGGCACGGAGCCAGCCTCGTAAAATGGGTACACAACAAAAATCAAGGAGATTTATTTATAGTGATAATTGAATTTGAAACAACATATTTGTCCTCATTCACTTGTTTATGATTTTTGTCATCATGCATTTGTTGTGGGTTGTTCTACTTTTATTATACAATTGTTAATTGTTTTTAAAGAATGTAACAGATATTTGTATTTTAGTGCATTTAGCTGATTTAATAACATACTTGCACATTTTGTATAATTCTTCTTCTTCTTCTTTTTGTTCACCAGCTGTAAACTCTGGTTGAAAGTTCTGGTTGTTCATCCACTGTTAGACTGCAGTCCTGTTCCAGAACCTGAGTGTTGCGTGTGCATCCTTTTTACAGATCTGACTTATTTGTATGCAGACTGCTGGTTCCTTGCCTCTCAGGCAGATGCACTCCAACTTCGAAGGGAGCTCCCAATTAGTCTACTCTTACGACATGCTTCTGGGTAGGCAGTGGGTCTGTTCTCCCCTCCCCCTCTTCCCCACTCCCCACCCCCCACTCCCCACTCCCCTATAATAAGGCCCCAGAACCCACACAGGGATGTATAATTCTGTTTTTTAGATGTTAAAGTTGATTCATTTTCCTTGGTAACTACAGAGATTTATTTGTTTGTTGGTTGGTCCAATGTTCCCAGTACTGGTTCCAGAGCCCAATGTTTGGGGGCAATAGAGTAAAACCCCCTGCCAACAACAAACCAGCATGCTGTAAAAGGCAACTAATATGTAGGAGTTTATAGGACTGATTGCGGTTCATTAAAAAACAGGTATTAAATTGTGTGGGTTTCGGTCCCCATTGTGGGTAAATCAAGAATAGACCCACTGTCTCCCCAACAAGCATGTCATAAGAGTCGACTAACTGGGAGTTTCCTTCGAAGTCGGAGAGCATCTGCCTGAGAGGCAAAGAACCAACAGTCTGCCTACAGATAAGTCAGATCTGTAAAGTGTATGTGCATGCAGCTCTGGTTCTGGAATAAGTCTAAAGTCTAAAGAACAATCAGAACTTTCCGCCAGAGTTTACAGCCAGTGAACGCGAAGAAGAAGAACTGGTTTGGTCATTTGACAAAAATATCTCAATACTTACTGCCATTGGGAGCCACCTTGAAGAAATATAATGAACAACGAACAAAGGGAAGACCATGCAAAAGCTAGGACAGCATCAATAACAATCTTAGGGAATTGACGACCAACTTGTCAGAAGTCACGAAAATAAAGAATGATAACAAATTCAGTACTTAATTTATAACTTACCCCTGACGTCACGACAACGTCACGGGAGACATTCCCAATAAATTCTAGGGTGTTAAGCTTGTAGTTTCTCGCGATTTCTCTACAGTAAAGTTTAGGGTTAGGGTTAGGATTAGAAGACACTAGATGAACACTCCAAAAAAGCACCACACAACAGCACACTTGCACCCCTTGAAATAATGCACTGTCAGGTCAGCTGTGGATTTCTCACGGGGATTTCCTGTTTGGGGTACGTTATAAATTAAGAACCAAAAATTCTTCTGTGACAGAAGATGGCTGGTAAATTATATTATCTTTGAGTTGATCCAGAAACTCTGGAGAGTTGTTCTGGACTGAAAGAGTTGAACTTGTTTAATCACGGACACCCAGGTTGAGAATCTGCCTAGATTTGGAATTGAATCCATGACCCTCAGACAAGCAGGCGACTGACCCCACTACACCACCATAGCTTTTAACTTTCAGAGAAACTAGTAAAGATTATCTGGAAAAGACTGAAAAAAGTTAAATTTGTTTAATCATGGACAACTGGCAGTCCACAGACCACTAGTAGGGAACCATTGCTCTGTGCCACAGAACCCGCACAGTACAGGGATGTTTTTACATTTGATATATCCATTGAGCAACCAACAGGTTTCAGTGCAAAGGTGTAAATTTTTTTTTTTTCTTTTTCTAGATCTGTGTTTTTTAAGAAACAGTATCTGAGCAAGTTTTTAAGTCACCCTTACCTCTGTGTTGTTTGATATTGACTAACTTGTTTGTATCATGAGCATTTCACTGACTGTAGCTAAACCATTCCAGTTTTCCATCTCTAGAACCTTGTTCATTGTTCAATTTTTAAAACAGTTATTATGTGCTTGCCTACTGGCCAAGAAGTTCTGAGTTCGAATCCCATCTTCTCTGTGCCAATTCTGGGGCCCCGTAATAGAGGGAAAAAGAACTAACCCTCTGCTTCCTAGAAGCATGTCCTAAAATGCAACTAATTAGGAGTTTTCCCTAAAAGTCGGAGTGCGTCTGTCTGAGAGGTGAGGAGCCAGCGGCCAGATTTGTAACCGAAATTCTAGAACAAGACTAACGTGCAGACGTGATCGAACAACCAGAACTTTCCCTTGGAGCTCACAGCCGATGAAGAGAAAGACGAATCCCTATCAAGGTTGATTGTTAAAATTTAACTAAGCTCCCTAGCTGACCAAGTCTAAAAAAAAAAAAGGTAGCAGGAATTATTAATGGGAAATAAAGACATCTGACGTGGTATTGACCAGTCACCAGTCAGATCCCAGTCGATTTATAGAAATACATGGCTAACACCACAAGTACCCGGCACATCCTGAGAGGAAGCCATCAGAGACACATCAGACAGGCACTGATGTGGGTAAGTGATGTTCAGCCCCACCAGGTGATAAACAGCCGGTGACCCAGAGTGCCACCATTAGGATGAGAATCCCCTGGCACAAGTCCCAGAAACCCCCGTTCAACCATTAGGTTATGTTAGGGCCCCCAACGGCAGGTGGGTTGGGGCTTTAAAATGACCACACAAAAATTGCATCCCATATTATGGCGGAGTTACAGGCACTGAAATGGGAAACTAATGGATTGAGGGAATGAAGATGTCCAAGAGGAACCCTAAAAATGAACATTGATTAGAGAAGCTAGAG